CAGAACTGCATCCGCGTGCGTGTGAGCGAGCGAGGCGAGGCCTCCGGCGAGGCTGCTCAGACCCTTGGTGGAGGAGCAGCGAGGCCAGCCCTTCTGAGCGATGGTAGCAGAGCCCTGCAATCCATCACCAGGTTGGCACAATGAATGATGAACTGCTTTAGCATGTCACTAGTGGCAGAAACAAGGTTTTCTGGAGCGTTTCGTGGTGACAGCAACAGTGAGGATGATTTTGATGGATGAAGATGCTGGGGGGAACCTTGTCTTTCTGCTGGGCCCTTCTGCCGGCCTGTGCACTGTGGGAACTGGGCCAGCCCGGCTGTGCTCTGAGCTCCTGCAGCTTTGACCGCTCGGAGCTACTCACAGTAGGGTGAAATATTAGAAAAGTTTGATGCATATTTAGAGGCTGGTGACAGAGAGGCATTGTTGGTCTTGGTCACCTTTTCCCTTCCTCCCTTGCTTTCTGCTGTTTGTTTCCATTTCCTCCCCTTTGTGCAGCTACCTCAGGGTCATATGCTTGTGAAGGAAGGAGCAAGGGTTTGGCTGCTTCCCAAGCTCAGCCTTCCCCATCCCGGCTTCCCAGGTATGCAAGTCCCATTGTGCAAGGCCACCGGAGGGCACGCACAAATGGCTGTTCCCAGTGCTTTCCACATGATAGGCTGTTCCCAGTGCTTTCCCACGATCCCAGCCAATCAGGAATCTCACAAGGAATACAATGCCATCACTGAGAACTAGCAAAGCCAACAGAGAGCGAGGGTAATGCGAACTGCCTCAGCTAAATGGTCCTACTTCTCCTTCCCAGAAAAGTGGATCAAGCCTTGCAGTCATACTGCTCGCATGAACATCTGGGCCCTGTTTTGACCTCCCCACATCTCATCCCCCAAAGTACCGAAAAGGGATTTGTTTATAAATGTTGCTACAACTGCTTGCCAGAAAGTAACCAACCAACCAAGCAGTTGGCAGAAGAGTCAGAATAGATAAAAACAATTTGCCAATCCATAATTGAGGCATAGCATTTACCGCCACCAGAAGCAGTGATGGCTACTTCTTTAGAGGGCTCTAGACCAGAACGTATTCATGGAAGCAGACATGTCCATCAGGGTATTGTTGATGATATCATCATCATCATCACTGCATTGCATTTATATTCTGCCTTTTCCCCCTCTTGTGAGGAACCGAACCCCATGAGGTAGGTTTGGTGAGGACAATGGACTGGCCCAGTCACTTAAGTGATCTTCCTGATCAAATGGAGACTAGAACCCTGATCTCCCCAGTCCAGCATTCTCACCACCACGCAATTAGCACTAGTATTCCACTGAAGGTCAGCTCTTGCATGGTAGAGGTGAGCAAGTCATGGATGCGTTAACCAACAGTTCCTACAACCCCACCCCATGGACTACGTTGACTTGGGCTAATGGGAGCTGCAGGGTAAACCAACGTGGGGGTGGGATAGCGTGTCCATTCCTGCTGGGGAGCACCAAAGCAAGCTTGCCTCCCCCCCTGTTCTTGGGCTCCTTGGAGGCATCAAGCTGGGAAGAAGAATCCTGACTAGTTGGGCCACTGATCTGACCACCAAAGTTCCCCGTATGTTCTTCCCGTTGGTTTGCTTTGTTTTAGTATTCTGTGTGCAGTTCTGATGCAAGATGCTTATTGCACCCATTCCCATCAGCCCTCACTGCATGTTAGCAAAGGATGATGGGCATTTGAGTCAAACAACTTGAAGTAGCTTGCAGTATACAAATCTCAAAGCATAATAATTGTATTATTGTATTGTACAATAATGCAATACAATAATAGAACATAAACTATAACAGGTTAGATCCAGGTTTAGCTGTACTTCAAGTAGGCCCTCTGCAATCAGTAGTTTTCAAAGGGTTTATTCTCAGCCTGGCTAAATATGGATCAACGCCCACGTTGCTGACACTCTTCTTCAGAACAGCTTGATCCAGTCACCCACATGCACAGTCTTCCAGCGATCCTTCTTGACCAAGCCAGGTAAAGCATTTTAATTGCCATTTGTGTAACATGTATAAATAAATAGGACATTCTTTCAGTCTACAATGCATACTAGGTCGATCCGGTTAAAAAGTCCAGCTACAATACGGGGCGGCAGCTTCTGTTGCATCCCAGTGGTCAAAGGAAGACATAAGCAAACAAGGACAATTGACAAGGCCCAAATAAAAGGCTGCGAGCCACGGAAATCACAACGGGAGGAGATGCAAGTGCAGGCTCTGTTTGGAGGAGACCAGCATCCCAAAGAGACAGAAGGGGGCCCATGGAATATCAGGATCCCTGCTCTGCTGCCACCTTGTGGCAGTCCTTGGGAACTGCAGGCTCACTGATTTGCAGTGCCCTCCCAGACTGCCCCCACGTGGCTTCCCTTGGGCGGAATGGTCAGGATTAGGCCTTGTTTGGGCAGTGGTCCACCTGGATAGGTGCTGTGTGGCTATATTTCAGAGGGTTGGCTTCCGTGCCTTCCTGCCCACTTGCAGATCCCCCCTTATCCATGCAATTCTGGGCATTTGCCTCTCCCAGGATGTACACTTACGAATTGCTCCCACATCCCTAAAAGGAAGCACATCACCAAAAGGGGAGAAAAAAAGACTCCAATTTGCATAAAGTGTGCACTTACTAATTAATATGCATAGATGCCAATGTCAAAATAATTAATACAATTTAGATAAAAAATACAGTACGTCTGATCATCGTGTGGAAGACTGCAACCAGGTTGCTCGTGTGTGGCTCAACTCAAGGGCAGCTCTTGGTTATTTATCATCAAAGTGGACTTAGAATGGGCAGCCCCTCGAATAGAGGATTGCTCTCTGCACAAGGGGACACCAGGCTACTCTAGACAATCCCGTGCTTCTCCCCACTTGCTTCCAGGACAGCCTCTACCTTGGCATCATGGCATGGCCAAGGGGTTTATGGAGGTGGGAGATATGGCAGCCAGTGAGAGAAGGACCCCAGCCACAGGGAGGGCTCTGCCACTCCCACAACGCAAGAGGACTGCAGAAATACCCTCAGGCTCTGCAGCCTGTAGGCTGTGAAAGAAGCCCCCTCCAAACCACTCCTTTCATTTCCAGCTAGCTGCCTTTGCTTCTTGGCCTGCCTTCTTGCATTAGCTGATCCACACTTCCCTGTTTATTCCACTTCAGACTTTAGTACAGCCAAGAACCCAGTTCTGCTTCTCAAGGGATGGTGTGGCTTGGGCCAAGGAACCGGTCTCATTCAGCTCAAGTGGTGCACCCCCTTCCTTTCCTCTCCCATAAATTAATGGCTACCTTTCAGTCCTATGGGACAGTGCAGCCCTTCCCAAACTTAGGCTTCCAGATGTTGACATACAGCTCCCATCATCCCCAGACAGCATGGCCCATGGTGGGAGTTACAGCAGTTCTCTTAGTGACAGCATGACAAGTGGGACGAACCCCAAGCAAACGGTAGTTTAGCTACCATGAACTGAACACCACTAGAGAGGGATCGATACCGACTCTGCCTTCTGATAGCAGCTTGACTCCTTCCTCGCCAAACAAGGAGTCGGCTCTAGGTTTTGCCTGCAGAAAAAGGGGTCGGGACAAGGTTTGGTGAAGCAGGAGAGCGAGCACCATTTTGCTGAACCTAAGGTGTCATTCTCCCGAGAGACCAGAAGTGACTGGGAAGTAGGGGGAGTGGAGAAAGTATGTGTAGATATGGGCCAAGGTTGAAGAAAGAACTGGGACTGTCCATTCTTCCTTTTTGTCGTCAACTTTACAGCTTTCCCCAGTGTGGACGGCCTCCAGATCTTTTAGACGCCAATGCCCATCAATAGCAGGCCATCCGTGAGCTTGATGAAATTTGTGTATTTCAAAGTGTCGAAGCTCTTTGTTCAAATGCTAGTCCTCTGAGTTTTTCCAATATTATGATTTTCTCTTTATGTACATAATTTTTTTTTGTGGGGGGGGGAGGGATATTACTTTTGGTCCGTAAGCAGGAGTGGGCAGAAGGAAGAGTTAGATCTACTGATAGACTTTTGGGTAATTTTCAGTAGAATGGCAAAAATCTCTGACTTCTGCCAAATGAGTCTCCTGTATATGAATTTACTGGAAAAAAGTGAAATTGGTGTAACTGGGAATGGATTTTTGTGTTGGAGGACTAATTCTGTTAGATTTTGGTCCTCAAAACACATTCCTGGGCTCAGAACTCTTTTTCACACCAGGTTCTGGATTGGTGGGTCTTGGGCATCCTAGTAAGAGAAGAAAAAAGTTGATCCTGCAAGTTTGAAGTCTGCCCACCTCTGCTGCAGAGAAACTCTTCAATTTGGATATGCTGAATATGTTGACAACTCCTTTTCAACTCCACCCCGCTAAACTGGTTACTCTGAAAGAAAGTTCTGAAAGGCAGAGTTGGTGTGGAACCAAGAGCTGAGTGGGGAAGTTCTGCATTCAGTGCATGGCACAATTATGAGAGAGAAAGAGAGAGAAAGAGAGAGAGAGAGAGAGAGGAAAAGTTAACACCAGCTCTTCTCTCCTCTCTGCTAGACACCATATCCCCTCTCTCCATTTGCAGGACCAGAAAACGACTGATCCCTGCTTTATCAAGAGTCTCCTCGTAAGCCTCACCTTCACATTTTGCTAGCTTTATTAGAAATATAAAGAAATGTTCTATCTTTTTATTTTATTTTTCCTTAAAAAAAGAAAAGAATACTTTTGGTACCTTCTGTTTAATTGTCTTTGTCACCCTAATCATAACTTCAAAAAATCTCCAGTTCATCACATTAGGCAAGCCACTCCTTTGGACTTCTCATTTGGACACATGAACATCCCATCTGGAGTGGGGAAAAGGAAGAACAGCCCACCATGGACCGCTTTTGCCAAGACATCTCCCTGATCGTAAAAATCTGCCTCATTGCTGAGTCTGTTCACTCCCCTCCCAGCACACACTCGTCCACCCAACTTTCTTCTGCATGTCCCAAGACAACTGAAGGCATCAAGGTGTAGTTGCTAACCCATAAAAACCTAGCTCTGGAGCTACACTGTGTCTTTGAGCTTCTCCATGTATTTTCTGATCTCTGCTGTTTCCCCCAAGTCCATATCTTGACACACCCATTTAATGTCATCTTCGTTGCAATTCAGGAGGGAGTTGACGGTGGGGCAACCATCGTCTGGAGGAATGGTGGTGAACGTGGTGAACTTGACGCGTTTTCGCTTGGAGGTGGGGGAATGCAAAGAAGACTCCAGCTTTGCCTCTCTCCCCGGTTTGCTCCCTGAGTCAGCCAACCGGTGGATTTGTCTCTGAATGCTTTTTGGCGTGCTGCCATTGAGGAGTTGGTTGCTCTCCTCCAGACCCATCCCTCGGTCAACGTTGGTTGTGCGTTCGTCTTGCCGGGGCGAGAGATCCACCTGGTTCTCCATCAGCTCGGTCTCATTCCCAAGCCACACCCAGTCGTGCGAGTGGCTCATGGAGGCCTGTCCCTCCACCGGCACTTGCTTGTGCCGGTATTTCAAGGTGAAAGTGGCGCAGTTGATCAGGAAGACTAGAATGGCGAGGCAGAAGACTCCAAGCAGGGCGTACATGCCGATCTCCAGGTCGCTGAGGCCCCTGGGCGCCTGCACCAGGTCATTTTCCTCCAGGCCCCCATGGCTTTTGGGAAGGTCAATCTGAGCTGGGAAGTTGGTGAAGTCTATCGGGATGTTCTGGAGCTGCCCCTCATCGGACAGCTTTTCTCCATCCCGACTGCTTTTCAAGATCTTACCTCTAACTGTAGACTTGGCCGTGGTGCCAGCTTTCCGGGCAGTGCCTTCCTCTCGCTCAGCAGAACTCCCATAGTATCGTCCATCTTGGCCGTACCGCTCCTGGTCCAACGCCTTCTGCCTCCGGTCGCTCGCGTGGTTTTCAATCTCATCGGCATCGTAGTCACCCACACTATGGGTGTCGGCATCATTCTGGCCAAACTTCACCTTGATGCTCCCATTACACACCGCCAGGACACTTTTCCTTTTGGACTTCTGGCAAGCTTCAGATATCATCATGTCCACTTTAACCAGTGCACCCTGCCCTTCACCTTCTGCTGCAACCACAGGCCATGCAGCTGCCGGGCTTTGATGGGCTGAAATGACCGATTCATCAAGTGATGAAGCAGAGAGGGAAAAGTCTTTGGGGTCATAAATATCCAGGGGAGTCACAGAGCCATCGCTGAACTGAATCCAGGAGCTGACCACTGCTTCCTAAAATCAAAAGGGAAATCGTTAATGGTGAGGGCAGGTTTTGGGTTCAGAAGGAGTCTACTCTGCTGGTGGAAGACTTGCCTAATTTGTTAGCTACCACTAACAAGGGTGGCGGGCGGGTGGGGGGGGGGAGGAGCTAGCCTGTTGTCTCTTTCTTGGACCTATTTATTCCAGGTGAGAAATGTGCAACTCCTTCCTTCCATCATAATCTTCCTTCTCTATGGGGGTGTAGATACTGATGTCCTCACACAAAAGCCAGAGTGGTACAGTGGTCAGGAGTGCAGGTCTGGGACTCAGGTGACCTGGGTTCGAGTCCCTGCTCAACCACGGAGCCAACTGGGTGACTTTGGCCCAGTCACGGGCTCTCAGACCAACCCACCTCACAAGGTTCTTGTTGTGGGGATAAGACTGAGAGCAGCAGCAGGAGAACAGTGTAAACCACTCTGAGTTCTTTAAAAAAGGGTGGGATACAAAGCTAATAAATAAATATTGACCCATAGCTTGTCCGCCCACAAGTGTTTGAATGTAGTTGCTATCATTTCAAATATGCCCTGGGCAGAGAAACCCAGCATGGAGGGATATTGGACCTAACCCAGTCTTACACCAAATACATTTTTTTAATCAAAAGTGAGAGATTGTGTTTAATGGGGGCATACACCCAAATGGAAAATACAGGGCAGCCCAGTGAAAACTGCATGACACTTTTCTCCTGTACCATCATTTTCTTGCAAAATGTGTGATTGGATCCTCTTGATCGTGCATTTCAGCTGAGGCATCAGGTTATTAACAGATCAATTTTCATTTCCTTATTCAGATTTTTGATATGCTCTGTGATCCAGATAACAATAGTTTGGAAATGAAACTCAATTTAAAACTAGAATATGTTAAAAAAAATCATAATAACCGCCAGAATAGATGAGAGTTTTCTTTGCAAGCTTCACAAACATTAGCATGGATGATAATCATGAAAGCTATTAGACTGCACATCTAGCAAGGAGGGGAAAACAAGAATATTCTATTGCCTTCTCCTTGAGAACAATATATGAATGGCCTTGATTTAATTGTCTTGTTGTAATATTCTTTCTTGCACGCTGTTAGAAGTCCCCATTAGCAAAACAGTATGATGCAGGAGGTCAACTGATGAAATTTGCTACTTTAGTCGCTGCTAGACTGGCAGAACTAAACACTCATTTCCTCACATGGTGTTCTTGACTTTATGAAAAGCAGTGGGAAGACTTTAAATGGAGGCACGCGACCTTTTCTGAGATATGCTGAGCTCCCTGATGGCTCTCCTGCCAGGGCCCATTGTCATCAGGGATCGGACTGGACCAGGAAGAGAGCCCGAAGTGGGTGGGCCTCTCTTCTCTCGCGCTGGCCCTGTTTCTTACTGCCTGGCGGACTGTCCAACAAGGGACCAAGAAGTTTGGCCAGAAGTCGGAACTGCCTGCCTATATAAGGCTTTTGAGGTCAGGTGGAGGGTTGGACATTTGGCTGAGGGCCGCCTTTGGCTCAACAGCTTCAATCCGTCCTCCGCTGCCTTAAAGGGGGGTCTACTCTCATCAGCCTTCCCCAGCTTCTTCCCCGACTCGCCTTGACACTGCAACTTGTGTGGCACAAGCTACAACTTCAGCCTTGCTTCTCGGAAGCTTTCCCTGGCTGACTCAGCCTCCTTGCCCCACACATTGCGGAGGATCAGCACACTGGTCTCCTAATGAGCCCAATGGCACGCCTGCCTCTGTCAGCCAGTTCTCAGAAGAGCAGAGCAATGGAGGTGAATCGCTTTGCCCTTCCAGCTGGAAGAAATGGCTGCACTCCTTCTGCTCTCTCCCTCGCACTCCCTCCGTGCGTTTCCCTTCACCCAAGATGGCTAATGATGGGAAAAGGGGGAAGATTGAAAGACAGAGCTGAATGCAATTTCATAGATGCTCTCGGTGTGAACCTTTTGATGGGGACTGGGGCCAAGGGCAAGAGAGCACAGCGAGGAAAGCCAAAGGAGGCTGGGTATATTTGCATTTAGGTCTCCTGCTGCCAGGATCCAAGCCCCAGGGTCTGTCATTAGCGGCTTTCCCCTCCCTCCTTCTCCGAAAGCAGAGGCACTTTGTCCTTTCAGAGTGAGGAGAGACTGCAAAAAGCAGAGCTGAATGACTGGCAATCAGGGAAAGGTGCAGGGACTCGGGGAAGGGATACAGCCCCCTGCAGAGCCCCCTGATTCACCTCCTTTTGGGTTCACACCTGGGCTGCCAGGGCCTCCTCCATGACCCCTTCCATACCAAATCTTTCTTTTTCCTGGAGGCAAGGGCAGAGGGGGCTGCAGCTGGCCACTCTCCTCCTCCTCCCATTGTGATGACAGTGCAACTTGATTGTGTGTGTGTGTGTGTGTGTGTGTGTGTGTGTGTGTGTGTGTGTGTGTAAGAGAGAGAGAGAAGGAGTGTGGGGAACACTCCTTGGATGGCTTCCACGCAGAACTTTTCCAGCAACAGAGTCAACACTTTATGAAATTAGTAACTTGGTGAGAGAGCACCTGCATGAGATGCAAAAGGTCCAAGGGATTAATCTTGAGGATCTCCGGTAAGAAAAGCTCAGGAGCCCCAGGTGAGATGAGCCCCAGTTCTGTCTCCATCAGAGATCTGAAACTCATATTGTCTGAATTCTGTAACCTGTGTGAATTAAGCAGGGATCTGCAAGCCTTACTATTCCGTGTGGCTTCAACTTGTCATGGAGTAGGACAGCTGTTGCACAGAAGCTCAGTGAGATCAAGGAATCTCCAACGCATCGACTTCCCCAGCTTCTGGAATCCACCATGTCGGAAGTGAAACACCCACAATGTAAACCCAAGCTCCTCAAGGAGCGGAATCGTGCAGCTTTTCTGCCTAGTTGTGGAATCATATCACATGCGAGCAGAAGACAGATGAGGACATACACTTACTATACCTGTTCGGGGGTATACAGCAACTCCTGAGCAACAACAGTCGCCAGAACAGCCCGGTTACTCGCTGCACTGGGCTGAAGGAAGAGTGACAGCCCAGCGACCAGCTGCACACCCATGTCCATGATGGTCACCTTGTCATCCAACACTGTCACGGTCTTCTCTGCCAAGATGGAGTCGGACAGTGGAGACAGCACCTTTGGGGGACACCATGAGGAAAAGGCTAAAAGAGCAGCAGTTCTCCCCGCTCTGCTATACTTCCTATGATCTGGTATTTTCACACCCTTAATACAGTCCAGGCTATTTTCTGCTGTCCTATTAGAGGTAGCTGGGCCTTCCTGTACCAGTGAGGTTCCTTATCCATAACAGCCCACATTTTGAGCTTCATAGGACCTATCCATGGTGCTGAACCTATTATGGGGATGGATGGCTGTAATGAAGCTCAAAATGAAAGGGTAGATGAGAAGTCCCGCTGACAGAGGAGTTGTCTGTTCCTTGGAGATCTTGACTTAGGAACATGTTATTGGAACAGGACATAGCTTGAATGGAAGAGCATGCGAAGAGCACTAGGGGTCTTCTGTGCATATCTTCACACATCAATCACTCAGAATCCTAATATGTCTCTGATTCAGTGGTGCACAATTCTGCAACTGCAGGCAGAGACCAATGGAAACTTTCCCTTGCTACCATTCACTGATCAGCTCCTGAGTGATTAAGAAAGGCTCTCCAATGGCTGAAGGGACAAGAGCATTAAGAAAGCTTGCAAGCCTGGCGGGAGGTGCCCAGTGGCATTCCTTGAAACCAAATACCTGGGCACTTTTGGGTGGTGAGTAAGGTGGAACAGTCAGTGTGCCTATTCTCTGAATGTGCCCACAATCCAAAATAATTCTGAGCACCAAGGAAGTTTCTGCCTTGTTTTTTGGACAAAGAAAGACTGGAAGCCCAAGAGATTTGCCATCTGGGGCAAAGACCAAGAAGGTGCCCCCTCCTATTCTATGTACAAAAGCTGGTTGCAATGTTTCTTCAACACTGACAATGGAACGGACTCTTCCATTGTATCCCAATGCAGCAGGTTAGCTTGGGGGGACGTAGAGCAGGCTGCTGGGTACTCCCTCGCTCCTCCAACTCCCTGCTGCCACCAACTTGCACCTGCCACCTGAGGCAACCTTCTCACTAGGCCTTCTGGTTGGCCAGCCCCTCTGTGCATGTGTGTGTGTGTCGTGCAACCATCACGGCCTTCAGAAGACTCTTGCCCTGCCTGGAGACCAAGCCATCCTTCAAGTTACCACATCAAATAAACCATCACAGCTTAAACGCTGACCTCACATTGTGGACTGACCTGGACCATTGTCATGCCGACTTCCTGTCCAATGAGAACCTTCCCTCCTTGCAGCCGGGCCACGTGAGGCTCTGCAAGCTTCATGAAGTCTGTCACCAAATCTGTGACATCAAACTGCCAGTCGGAACCTAGCAGATAGGTGAGCTGCCCCCATGGGCTGCTGTCCTCAGCCACAAACTGAGTAAGGACGCGCACCATGGCATGCTGGTATTGCAGGGTGCAGCCTCTCCCCTTCCGCTCATCTTCATCCTCATCCTCACTGTCACGCGTAGGTCTGCAAGATAATCATTTATAGTCATCGTCCTTCCTGACAATGTGGTAGCAGGTAGGTGCTCTACAAAGCCGATGTGTGAGGATGTGAAATGCTGCATGGATGGGGACACATCAATGTGCAAGCGATGCTCTCTGTTTCCTTGGAGACGAGGCCCACATGCCATTAGAGTTCCAGGGCCAACGCATCTGAGCACCTTCTCCAGTTCTCTTGGAGCAGTGTTCCTAAGGCGCCCAATTGTTTTTCCCTTGCACACGGAATCAGTCCCACCTTAGACTCAGGAAGACAGGGGTGCCGAGGAGAACATGTGTTCACGTCCAGGCAAACTTCGCATGTGATCACTGCTCCATTTGCCCAGTCTTGCCCTTCGCAAAGAGCGAGTGCTTATCCAGATAGGACTCAGGGCTGAGCTGAGTGGCAAGAGACTTTTTGGAGGTTCCTAGTGCTCCTTTGCCCATCCCTGCTGATCTCCCATGCACTGACCTTTCCTAGGAGTGGGGAGGGAGAAGAGCAGGAAAGGTAAGCTGTGTGAGGGTGCATCCCTGAGGGCTGTGAAGAGGGTAGGAAATGCCTGCACCATCCCTCTCAGGTACAGCCGGCCTGTGAGAACTTTTGTCACCAGAAGCAACAAGGCTCACCTCTTGTTTGAAACCACAGGAACTCTCCATCCCTTTATTTGGCTCAGCTCTGTGTCTGACACGTCAATCTGGAGAGGGAGGCGTGGGACCCAAACGGTGACCTGCAGAGGAGCGCTCAGGTACTGGTAGGTGAAATTCACAAGTGCATTCACCTTGCCTTTGATCTCCTTGCCATTGACAAAAACGTAGTCACACCGGTCAGAAACCTGGAAGGAAAGAGAAGACAGAAATTTCTGGGTGAGAAGAACCTAGGTACAGGATGGTAGCAACTTGCAAGTTTGAATGCCAATCACAGATACAAAACTATGGATCAACGGTAGGAAAAAAAGAATTCCTTTGTTTAGAAACAGCAGTCCTAAATGGAGGCTGTCCCAAAATCCATTGAGGACTGAGCATGCTCACTGGACACCAAATGGTGGCTACAAATGGGGTGTGTGTGTGTGTGTGTGTGTGTGTGTGTGTGTGTGTGTGCATGCAAGTAAAATAGAGTGGCTAGCATCCCGAAGATTGCAACATCCCATACGTTGCAATATTTTGTTGTGGGTCTCTTGTTTTGCGCAGTCTCATTATGCCTTCCCCATTACGGCTTTTCAGATATTCTAAATTGCCACAACAGGGTGATTCAGAGAAGGGAAAAGCAAGGGAAAATAGTCTCCTCCACTATAAGCCATTATCTGTTTATAAGCATTTACAATTCATGTAAGGCTATCGAGCGTTTCCATTCCCACCCCTGCCCCTCCTCCTTCCACCCCCTACCAACGCTGCAGTGGATTTATCATTAGCATGTAAATACTGTCCTGAAATACAAGCGTGCATTAGCATAGTCAATTTAAGAGTTATATCAGTAATCACTCCTTTAATCAATGTTGTAATTTACAGACCATTGAGTTTTCTCATTTATTACCAGGCCGAGTACAAGTGGGAGGGAATTTTTTAAAAAAGAGGGGAGGAGAAGTGATCCTCTCCCAAAGATATAAATCATTAAGAAAGATGTGGATAGGATGAAGTGGCTCAGTGAGATAAAGTCGTTGTCATAGCGATTCCTAAAGGTGTCATAAATGTCTGGGGAAATCTTGCAATACGTTAATCTTGCACAAAATAGCTTGCAAGGGCACTACTAGCAGAGATTACCAGGCAGGCTGGATGGGCAGCTTCAAGTCCCATCATGATGCCCAAGAAACCGATAACCTCAGAAAATGATTCCTCCTCTTTTTAAGAAATTGGAAAGGTACTTTTCCCCTTATTGGAAGCCAGCTCTTTTAAAAAACAAAATGAAATAACTGGGATGACATGACTACTACTTCCTTCACCGATCAAGTACAGTAACATGGAATTGTCATTTGAAACTTCACTATTGCACTGAAATGAAAATATGGATGCCCATGTTTCTAGGTTTCATGATTGGGTTGAGGGCAATTCCTTAGAAATGAGTAGACTGGGTCATGTGCTACTGAGAAATAACCTTTGAAAGAATGGACACCTCTAGAAATTTGAGGGACTGTCATAGGCACGATCACAAAATGGCTTATATGGCTCATCACACAGAACATGTAGTCTGCCTGGTGGCATCCATGGGGAAGTTAGAATTTGGTCACAGAAGGCTCCCAGGTTGCACAAGAAAGAAAACATACTTTGAAACAATGGGAGGAGTAGAATGGCTTGGTGGGATCCAAGGAAGGTATCTGGGGAATACATGGGTGCCCACACGCCTTAGGTGGCCTACCAAGGCTGAAGACAATACAGCAGTGATGGCAAAACATGAAGAGACCGAGTGCCAACACTGGAACCAAAAAGACACTTATTTATCACAAAGTGCCAACACTGCAATAAAACCTGAAAACTGAGGTTTTAGTTTAGGAAGAAAATCCACACCCGCTCAAGCAAACATATATACAACCTTGGCAGATCCCTGACTGGACATGTAAAAGTTGCGAGGAGCCGCAGCTAATGAGTGCAGCACATGACATCATTGCTTGGCACCGCTACTCTTTCCAAGCATGCGCCAGAAGTGCGCTGTTAACTGATGCGCTGTTGCTGGGGCGATGCGGGGAGCACATGGCTCGCATACCAAAAGAGAGGGCCCTGCAAGCTAGCTGTGGCACATGTGCCATAGGTACATGACCACTGCCCTAGAACTGCCCTCAGACACACCCCTAACCCTAATAGAGGGCAAATGTGCCATTGAAAATTCTTATATTTTAAAAGCCTTCGCCGAGTAGATTTTTCTGCACAGCACATCCTCTCTGCCCATTCTAAGCTCATTCCAACCATCAAAACCGTGCCAGGACACCTCGTTTTCCTAACCCTAACCCTACCCTGGTGCACACCCCTAACCCTAATAAGGGCAGAAGTTCCATTGAAAATAATGCTATTTTGAAAAAGCCTTCCCCGAGCAGCTTTTTCTGCGCAGCTCATCATTTCTGCCCACTCTAAGCACATTCCAACCATCAAAACCATGCCAGGACACCTCATTTTGCTAACCCTAACCCTACCCTGGTGCACACCCCTCAGCCTAAGAGAGGGCAAAAGTGCCATTGAAAATACTGCAATTTTGAAAAAGCCTTCCCTGAATAGCTTTTTCTGCACAGCTCATCCTCTCTGCCCATTCTAAGCACATTCCAACCATCAAAACCATGCCAGGACACCTCGTTTTGCTAACCCTAACCCTACCCTGGTGCATACCCCAACCCTAATAAGGAAAAGTCTATACAAAGTTATTTTTGTACATCTGATGTGTAAAGCCTGGGATCTTGTAAATGTGTGTACATTTGGCATTTTGAAAGGATGTAAATAACGGATGGGGTACTTTCTATTTTTGTAATGTTGCAATTTTTGGCCCTTTTTGTACCTTTGCAGCATGTTTTTATTTAAATAAAAAATTTCAACCTAAAAAAAAAAAAAATTCAACCTAACCCTAATAAGGCCTCACGTTCCATTGAAAATAATGTATTTTTGAAAAAGCCTTCCCTGAGTAGCTTTTTCTGCACGTCTCATCATTTCTTCCCATTCTAAACACATTCCAACCATCAAAACCATGCCAGGACACCTCGTTTACCTAACCCTAACCCTACCCTGGTGCACACCCCTAACCCTAAT